TAATGGAAGGTGAAGAGGGGAAAAGGGTTCGTGAGAAAGTGAAGTATCTGAAGAATGAAGCAGAAAGAGCTCTGGGAGAAGATGGATGTTCTTCCAAAGCACTCTCTGAAATAGCTCTGAAGTTGAAGAAGACGAAGATTGGGTATTAAGTGAATCATGTAATAATAAGAGAATGTTGTATCGTGTTTACCCTAATAAAATTCTCTTTTCAAGATGAGTTGTTTTTTTTTTTTTTAATTATTTTTTAAATCATACATATTCATGGTGCATTATTATTAATAACTAAAATGACATCAAACTTTAATATAAAAAATTCAATAAATTCAAATCTAAAATATATATATATATAATAACTAATTATTAAATTTTTTGTCGCATTAGGACATTATTTATTATTTATTTATTTATTTTTAAATCCTTCCAATTAGACCCTTTTAAAAAACATTTCTAGACAGACACGTGCTATTTTTATTTATTGAGGAAAGGGAGAACACGTCATGTTGCCAAGTAGTATCCTATTTATTAATTATTTATTGAGGAACGAGAGAACACGTCATGTTGCCAAGTACTCAGACTCGTGGCGTAGAGCCAAATAATTTATTTTGTCATTTTTTTTAAATATTAATGTAATGTATCCTATTTATTTATTTATTCCATAAACCCAATGATTAATTATTGAATTAAGAAGAGATTTGATATAAAACATTTATTATTTTATTCTTTCTTAAATTGTTTTCATTAATATTTACATCAATTTTCTCTATTATTTAAATATTAGAAGACCTAGTCCACATATTTCCATTTTATTAATCGTAATTAATTTTTTTAATAAATTAATAAAAATACTTTCTCATCACCCTACTTAAAAATGCCTATAAATTTTCAAAAGTTCTTATAATACTTCGAAATCTTAAAAACACCCTTAAACTTAAAAAATAAAAATAAAAAATATTCATATGATTAGTTTTGGATCGAAACCATCTTACTTTATTTCAAAAGTAATATTAATAAATTTGGAGACAATCCATAAGGTATATACACTTTTCCGTAAAATTATTTTAAACTTTTTTATACAAAGGTAAAAGAGGTTAATGCTACCCATATATTTTAAACATGGTACTAACGAAATTTTTTTAATTTTTTAAATTAATAAAAAAGTATAGATGAATTTTTTTAAATTAAAACTTATTCTTGAATGGTTATTAAAAGTTAGAAGAGTATTTTTAAAATACTATTAAAAGTTGTGTTTAAAGCCTACGTTAGGATGAGTCTTCCATTGCATGTGAAAGCGTGTTTTGAAAATCTATTCCTTCATGTTGTGAATCGTTTAGCATTTGTGTTTGGTGACAAGACAAGTCTTATTTCTATTCAATCATCATCCTTACAAGAGGAATCTTATGTTTTTCAATTGAGTCACCATCCTTACACTTAATTCTAAGAATCCACTTGTAGAGTTCTTTTAATCGTCCTTCACTTACCTATTTCATAAATCATGAATCAAATAAGGAGTGATTTATAATCAAAATTCGATGTGCTTTTATATATTTAATGACAGACTTAAAATTATTAACCACATCGTGACAAATTTCTTGAACTTGAAAGATTTGGACCAAAACATATTAGAATATCTCGTCCATCGACCGATCAAAGTATATGTAATAATAATTTGTTAGCCAAAAAAATAATAATAATAACAAAGTGACAACCAATAATCATTCTCAAAATTATTTTTACATGGAGAGAAAATTATCCTTCATGAAAAATATAATGATAATCATAATAATGAAGAAAAATTGGTACAAAATGCAAGAACTTTCAAGAGATGAAATCCAGACGGTCAAAGTGGAAAAACTGGTCAAAATCAATCTTATCAAGCGACAATTCCCAATCCCCATTACCAATCGGCGAATTTGTCACTGAAGTTGTCGCCGAAACCATCTCCGTCATGTTCGATTGCTCCGACGACTGAACCCCCTGAATTTCTCCGCCGTAACCGCTTAAATCCCAGGCCGTTTCCGACGTCGCCGACGACACAGCCGCCCTGAATTTCTCCGCCGTAACCGCTTAAATCCCAGGCCGTTTCCGACGTCGCCGACGACACAGCCGCCGCAGACCAGTTGCCGTCCGCAACAAAACCCGGCTCCATCATCTGTTCTAAGAACACATCTTCATCGACAGTTTCCGATCCGAAGCAAAACGGCGGAAAAACATCGTCAAAATCCTCTGTTTTGAGACCGAAATGCTGTTGTTCTCCGAAATTGAAGAGAATTTCAGAGTTTGGGTTTTGTTGATTTTGATGGGTTTCTTCTGGGATTTCGTTCCGATTTGAAACGGAAATCAATCCCAAATTTGCGGATTGGTTGCATGTGTGCTGTCCTCTGTATGTCACCTCGAAAATGTTGGGATCGTTGTCGGATTTCTGAACTTGTTTTGTGGCCAAACATCCTCGTACATTCCGATGAGTGCATCTATAATAGCATCTGCAAAAATTTGATTATTAGAAACAATTGTCCTGTTTTTTAGTGGAAGAACGATGAACTTATGATATTCACCTTGGAAAGTTAGCGCCATGGATATCTTTTTGGCCATATTTTCTCCAACTATGGCCATCATTGAGTGGGCCTTCAGCGGCAGAGCCACTGCCAACCTTAACTTCCTCAGTCCATTTAGGCAGCAACTTTCTGCAAAACCAAATCCAAATGAAAAACAGAGGAAAAGAACTGGAAAAAGAAGCTCAAAATTAGTTACCTCCTCTTGAGCAGCACATCTCTGCTGCTGTTTTTCCTCTTGTTCTTGGTGGGTTCTTCTTCTTCTTCGGATGGATCTTTAGGGTTCCAATTCAGAAGCAAAAGTGCATTCTCGAAAGAAGACTGAATCATTTCCGTCAAGAAAATGAGAGCTTGTGGAGAAGAACCAGGAGGAGGAGGAGAAGGAAGATGGGTTTTGAGTTGAATCGCCATCTCCTTCCCCTGAGTCAACTCGGTGATCAAACTCTTGTGTTCCATTAAGAATGGCGGCGGCGGCTCTGTAGTTGGGATGAGTCAAAACCCAGAAAATTGCAAGCTTGAAAGAAGAATGTAAGAAGAATATGGTCATTCAAGGGTTTAAAATTGGGGAAAATCCACAGAAGAACAACAAAAAGGTGATGTCTGGCTAAATGGGTCACTCCGAAATCCCAATTTCTAAGAACCCAAATGAGCAAAACTGAATAAAGCTCCAAACTTTGAGAGAGTTGAAGAGATGGGGGAAATGGGTTTGAAGGGAAGGGATTTTAAAGATGGTCGTAAATTTAAGAGAGAGAAAAACGACGTGTAAGAAGCTCTCCAACAAACAAAAAGAGAGACTAAAAAAAGGCCGAACTCGTACTGGGAAGAAACCGAGTAGCCCCCCTTAACTTTAATCAAAATAAGTATGCTCTAATCAAATTGTAAGGTCACAAACACAAAAAAGAAACTTCCTAGGTGGGTTTACGGTGACCATATGTCGGATGTCTCAGTCATGTTTATCTAGGACATGTTATCCATGCTCACATGCCCATTTCAAATTTCTTTTACGCACCATCTATTACTAAAATCATGTCTACACATGTTATAGCTAAAATCCTTTCAGATAAACTATAGAAAATGTGACTAGTTGTCACTTCTCTCTCACTTCTATGCTACCAAAGCTCTTATTATTGACTTAAGGCTCGAGCATATATTGATATTATCTGCCAAGTCCAAATTTCACACGGCTGATTTGTTCATTGGATTATGACAACTGTTATACAATCATTGTCCCCGTGGAAATTGTAATATTAGCTCTGCTTCAGTAGATTACGTAAGAAAAAACTAGGAATTTGGACCAAAATTTAAACTATTTGTACTTTGACAATTGAAGAGAGAGAGAGAGAGAGAGGAAAGTGGTGACCATTTCAAAAGCCATCAATATTTGTTTGTTTGTTTGTTTTTTATTTTTTTATTATTTTCCTATGTGGACAACGCGGAAACAGCCTTGAAAATTCCACCATCTTTCATCTTCTGCTGACTTGGAATTTCATTCTATTACAGCACGAATATTATTTGATGACATCATTTGCTGATGTAATCCATAACTCTTTATGACGTCAGCACATCAATTCTCATCCCTCTCTCCACTCTATTATCCCATTCAATTCCCATTTCACTTTTCAACCTAAGTTTACGGTTAAAAAAAGAATATAATTCAAATCTTTCTAATTTTACATGTTTATTTAATTAAAAAAATATATTATAATCTTTTAACCTTATCTGAACTATAAAAAAACGGAATAATAATTTAACATGAACTAGATTTTAAAAGATGCTTAATTTTTAGTTTGGTTTGAGGAGAAAGAAACCGAGTGACCTATCAAGTTCGGAGAAATGTTTTTTTGAGTTTATATCATATTACAGGACATATAATATACTGGATTAAATGTTTGAATTCTCGCTATCTATTATTAACTTAAAATAAATAAATAAATAAATAAAATTATTTTAAAGAAAAAACATTGATATGTGACTAGTACATATAAAAATGCCACTGGTCAATTAGACAAAAAAAAAATTAAAAAAAAACTTTTTCAATTCAATTAAGGATATAAAAGTGTCCCAATTGAGATATCTTATAATCAANTTGAGCTATTCAACTTGTTTGTTGATAGGTTGGCTCCTCTGCAATGATATACACCGATCTTCAACTTGGCTCTGATACCACTTGTTGGTTTTCACAGAATTTCGGTGAGAGGAAATTGAGAAAATGCGTAACAAAAAGGAGAGAGAAAAATAACTCTGACTGCGTTCAGGTTGTTTTATTTGTTCAGAACAAACTCCTATTTAAAGTAAAAAAGAATTCTAAAATTGGCTGGAGAGTGGCCAACTAAATCTGTGCCACTCCCTTCTAAAACTCTGGTGATCCATTCGACGTGATTTGTCGAATGGTCAAACTCACGATTTTCTGAAATCGTGTGAATAAGAAAAACGGTAAAACTCAGGTTTTATCTAACATCTCTGCCCACTCATTTCCAATCCCAACGCCAATTCGTTGATTTGATCACGCCAAAGAGCCCCCCGACTCCCAAACGACACAAACAGAACAGACTCCTTTGGCTGTTCATCAAGCCATTTCAAACAATCCGCTCTCTCTTCATTTTCACTGCAATCTTTCCTCACCAGCGGACCAATTGGATAAACAGGGGGCTTCCCTGGTTTCTCCTCTAGCAGAGCTTTTATAGCTTCAGGCTCCAATTCAGGGTAGCTGTTGAGAAAAATGGTATCCGCCATTCTATACCTCTTACAGTTATGGAGCAATAGCTTGTAGGCATCGTCACTCCTATCTTGAGTCGGTTCCTGAAGCTCTTTCCCATGAATTGGAATGCACCCCGGAATCTGAATCAGCTCGGGATGGTCCCTGTACTCGCCGGCGATGATTTGGTCGAGGCTTGGCATTTGTAATGCGAAGGAAAGGTTCATGGCAGAAGGAGGGAAGAAAAGGTAGCAAGGGACGTCGAATTCGATGGCGACATCGAAGGCGTCAGTACTGAAATGGTCGACGATAAGGCCAGCAAGATGGGTTTTTCCGATGAGGGATTTGAAGAGGTCGCGAAGGAATGGAACAGAGCGAGTTACAGAGAGGATGATGATGGTTTCGATTTTGGGGTTTTCGGGGAGATCGTTGAAGGAGATGGGAGGGAGGAAGAGGGGTTGGATAGTGGAAGGGAGGTCGGTTAAGACAGCTCTTTGGGGTTTGGTCGGAGGGATGTTGGAGGGAATGGCGATGGTGACGGAGAAATTGTGGAGGGAGACGAGGCGTTTGGCGAACTCGACGAGGGGAATTAGATGGCCAACGCCGGGACTTGGGACGATAACAAGGTGGGGTTGAGAATCAACGTGCAGAGCTTCCATGGCTAGGGAAATGGGAGTGGAGAGTGAAGAGCTGAAGCATGGAACTCATCGGAATTTGATTTGTTAAATAACAGAGGAAAACAGAGGGCCTGTTCCACTTGTCCGTTAATTTCTTACCATCAAATTCCTTCTTATCCACCACATGCAAGGAGACTATAACCAAATCCAACTCGAAATTGTTTCACAATCCAACCCAATCCTCTATTTGTTTTGACCTAAGTTGTCTCAATCTTAGAATAAATCTTCAAAGCTTCTAAGTTGGTAAGAAAGATCTAATGATACTTGTTTTCCATGGATACAATTTTTGGCACGTGTCAAAAATTGTTTTAAGTGTTAAAAGAACTCTTACAAAAATCAAGAATTGTCTCACCCAAAAGCTACTATTCATACTAAAACTCTATATTTAAAATAATTTACTTTCCATCGTATCAAAATTATCTTTCACTGAGTTAAGATAAATAGCAAATAACTCCAATATTTTTAACTCTAATGAATTTTGCTCTTCACTTCTCATTTGTATTGCGATAATACTACATTAATTGTGTTTATACTCTTGGAATTGAAACCGACTCTTGATTTAAATTGATGATGACCTTAAACATTATCGTAAAACTTGTAAAAATAATACAAACGAATCAAATAATTTTTTATGTCATTCACCGTCACTTTAACTCTAGAATCGCCATAAATATTCAAAAAGCAATATGATATGTAATCCAATTTATAACGTGGATCGAGTATTATATGTTCTTCTTTCCTTTTCGTTGGTTTTCAATAGTGTGAGTGTGCGCTAACCTATAGTCAGATCTTGAAGACATTGATGAGTCTGTCTAGCACGTGTTCATGCACGCATACTTGAGTTGTGTGCAGAAAAATACTATGCATCCAACCATACTTAAAAAAAATATATATTATTATTAATATTATTTAACTAATTTTGATAAATTAAATTCAAATTATCAACAATAACTTTTTTAAAATCATAATTTATTTTTAAATGCACCTATTTATTAAAAGAATAAATTCTTTATAATTAATATCAATTATCAATGGATAAGTTTAAGCTTAAAAAGAAAAGAAAAGAAAAAAAAAACTTTCTTTTAGATGAAATCATAATGAATGAATGTGTAACAGCAAGCTTCTTTAGTACCCTTCCAAGTTTAATATGCATCCATTAACGAGATATTTATACACTTTATAAGAAATATTTCACTCCTCTTTTCAACCGACGTGGGATCTCACAATTTACCACTTTTGGAGTTTAGTGTTCTCGTTGGCATATCGCCCGGTGTCTGGCTCTGATACCATTTGTAGTGGTCGAAACCCACTGCGAACAGACTCGTCGTCAGCCTTATAGTTTTAAAATCACTTTTACTAAGAAGAGATTTACACACCCTTATAAGAAAATTTCGTTTCCGTCTACGATTGATATAAAATCTCACAATCCACTCCCTTGTAGGCCTTGAGCGTCCTCACTGGCACACGATCAGATGTCTAACTCTAATACCATTTGTAATCATCAAAATCCACCGCTAATAAATATTGAAATATGGTCAATCGATTTAGATGTGCAATTTTATACCTTTCAATTTGATTATAAAATACATTATCTTTAAAATTAGAGCGTTATAGAACGAATAAAAGATTTGAAAAATTCAAAAAATGAAAAGATAATTTTATTACACAGAATTCTGTTGTTATCATCACATTATTGATTTATTCAAATTGTAGAAAGTGAGGGAGTTGTGATTCAAGAGAACAAATTCAATGCCCCCAGACGCAATTCAAGATTCAAAAGCTTGTTATTATTGCAGATCTTGATGTTCTTCCAATTCATACCCTTCCTGGGAACTGCTGATCATCATCGTCTTCTTCCACTTCATACCCATTTCACACACTGCTTTGGATGAATACCCATCTTCCCCCGCACCTCTTTCCGCTGCATTTTTCAGATTCTTCATTTTCTCTCGAATCCTTTTCCCCTCTTCGCCTTCCATTAACGACTTCACCACTTCTGCAATCTCTTCCTTCTCCACAATCCCACTTCCCTCCTTCTTCTTCGGCCTCAAACCAACTTTGATGTCCTCTGTCAGCATATGGGCGTTCATCCTCTGTTCTGCATACAGCGGCCAAGCAATCAGAGGAACCCCATTCACCACGCCTTCCAGCGTCGAGTTCCACCCGCAGTGGCTCAAGAACCCCCCGGTGGACTCATGCCTCAGCACCTCAACCTGTGGCGCCCACGATGGCACCACCATTCCCCTGTTTTTAGTCCTCTCCATAAACCCCTCCGGCAAGAATCTCCACGCTTCGTTCTCCTTCTCGTTCTCGTCGCCGAAAAACGTTGCGTTAGCCGCCTCCTCGTTTGGCTTTCTTACGACCCATAGAAATCTCTGCTCACTCATTTCCAATCCCAACGCCAATTCGTTGATTTGAGCACTCGACAGAGTCCCACCGCTCCCAAACGACACAAACAGAACCGACCCATTTGGTTGCTCATCAAGCCATTTCAAACACTCCGCTCTCTTTCCGTTTTCACTGCAATCGTTTCTCACCAGCGGGCCCACTGGATAAACCGGGGGCTTCCCCGCTTCCTCCACTAGCAGAGCTTTCATAGCTTCCGGCTCCAATTCAGGGAAGCTGTTAACAAAAACAGCATCCGCCAATCTATACCTCTTACAGTTATGGAGTAATAGCTTGTACGCATCATCCTCCCTATCTTGAGCCGGTTCCAAGAGATCTTTCCCATGAATCGGAATACACCCAGGAATCGGAATCAGCTCGGGATGCTCCCTGAACTCGCCGGCGACGATTTGGTCGAGGCTGGGCAATTGAAAGGCGAAGGAAAGGGACATGGCGGAGGGAGGGAAGAAAAGGTAGCGAGGGACGTTGAATTCGATGGCGACATCGAAGGCGTCAGTACTGAAGTGGTCGACGATGAGGGCAGCAAGATGGGTTTTTCCGATGAGGGATTGGAAGAGGTGGCGAAGGAAAGGAAGAGAGCGAGTAACAGAGAGAGCGATGATGGTCTCGATTTTGGTGTGTTTGGGGAGATCGTGGAAGGAGACGAGCGGGAGGAAGAGAGGTTGGATGGTGGAAGGGAGGTTGGTGAAGAGAGCTTTTTGGGGTTTGGTCGGAGGGGCGTCGGAGGGAATGGCGACGGTGACGGATAAGCCGGGAAGAGAGACAAGGCGTTTGGCGAACTGGAGGAGGGGAATTAGATGGCCAATTCCTGGACTTGGCACCATAACAATGTGGAATTGGGAAGGTTTGTGCAGAGCTTCCATGGCGGCGGAAATGGAGAAATGCAGAGTGAAGTATGCAGCTCTTGATTTATTGAAGAAAAAACAGAGGGGATGGCCCACTTGTAGGGATGACAAATATGTGCATGGAACTGTACAATTTGCTTAATTATATGGTAAGCGTTTTGAACATTTAAATTCAGTCCTTTCATCGATGTATAAACATGCATTAATCATGTGAATCTGTCATGTATCTCAACTGTTCATATTCAACATGCTTCTAGATTTATTTAACCTTTTCAGCCGCCGCACTCTTTTTTCGTTTTCTTCACTCCATAAAGTGGTCAAGCATCGGAGCCCATTAACCGAACTCTCTAGCGTCCGAATTCCTCTCACAATGGCTCATAGACATAAACCCAACGGTTGGACCCAATCAATATTTAACTGTGGAGTCATGGATGAGAGTAGTTGTCACAACCCAATATTTAACCCAATATTTAACTCAATATTTAACTGTGGAGCCATGAGTGAAAGTAGTTGTCACGACTCAATATTTTACTATGAGCTAGTTGTCACAACCATAGTATGAAGAGAGTAGGTTGTGACCCTCACGTCATGGCAAGCAAAGGGGCGTCCCTCAAGAGACGCCCCATCCGGTCATATGCGGGCCAACATAGAAGAATGCCATGATGCGATCGAGGAGGACGATGCATTATCCAACACACCACCACGCAAAGTGGGTATTGAAGATATATGTTGAGACATAAGCATAACAGAGACATCAGCATAGACATGAAGGACAAGATAGGCTTGTTGAAGGGCCAAGTAGGGCCTCGGGCCTTAACCTCAAAAGTCGGGGTTTCGGAAGGAATTTGGGCATGCGGTTCGGGAGTTAAGTCCATCCATATGAAATATGAATGTTCGCCAAGTTTGGTGTCAATCGGACATTGGACGGACAATGCACGACACCGTATGACACCTCACCAAAATCATGTCTACACCT